CCGTAGACATCCCATCCCCCTGAGCTAAAAGAAGCAATTGAAGGATGGGGGCTTCAAATGTTTGTTTTTCCATTTCAGGTTTTTAGATTTCTTGACTTCTAGCAGGTTTGGAGACTAGAACTAGTTGGTTCTTACGCCTTTGCACATGTGACGCGGAAGCCTTCCAGCGCCGAAATCCACCAATCTATGATCCACTTGCGTGTGATTTGTTTCTTGGAATATGGGTTGTGTGTCCCAACTGGGTTGCCAACTGAAGAACCTACATCATGTAATCTTTGGGGGGGGGGGGGGCCAATCCCTGGATAAGCCCAGGATAACCCAAAGATAGGCCTTTCATAAGGCTTATTAAGGGCTGAATAAGGGATAGCCCCCCTCCTCATAGCCCCTTTTGGGGGTCCGTAATTACAGCAAGCAATACGATAGGCAAGCTTCTTATTTGGTCGCCATCGGCAGCACTTCCGAGCGAGCGAGGCACGGGGGGGACATCGATCGTGCTGTGAGCCGAGTGGTGGATGGCTTGCTACAGAAGGCTTACTTCGAGTCGGTTGAGGCCGGGCCGAACATTGAGACGAATCCCGATCTGTTCGCCAAATTGACCGGTTGACATTCGGGGCCTTGAAGTGGTTGCATTCTGAGGGTGCTAAACATGGATTTTGTGGGGCGGCGGAAATAGTTATTTGAACTGCTATTTAGGGGCAATTTTGAGGAGGTCACTTCCATGGACCCGGTGTGAACCTAGAGCCTCGGTTGGGAAGGGATGATTAGTCATGTGTTGTATGGGATGCTTGTAGTACTGCATTTGCTTAAAGCAGGACGCCGGGGTCAGAAGTGTCCAATCACATAATCCAACTGAAGGAGGTGGCCCCCTTTTGCCTCGTGTCGCACTTGGCCGCTTTTACCCGTCGTTCGTCCTGACGTGTCTGCAAAGACATAAAGACGGATGGATGGACGGACATTTAAATGGAGAGAGACAGACGCAGACAGAGACGGACAGAGACAGAGATAGAGACAGAAACAGAGACAGAGATAGAGACAGAAACAGAGACAGACAGACAGATACAAACAGAGACAGATAGACAGACAACACAAACACAACTAGCTAACTGACTAAATCAGGTGTGTGGTGGTTGCTTTGAGGTCCCCGCGAGCATTGCTTCTTTGGCACCAGCCGCAATGGCAGCCCTACTGGCCGCCGTGGTGGTAGCAGGCGTGAGTCCGCGAATTGCCGGTTTTTATGCCAACTATTTGGTTGCCGTGCGTAATATGTTCAAGTTGTTTGGTCTGTGTTAGTAGGTGAGCCTGTTTGACCATGTTGGAACATGCTTCATCGTCAGGGTGAGACGATTCAACCCCTTGTTGAAACATGCTAAAACATATTGGTTCCAAGCATCGCGGATTCAGGCGTTTCTCAGCTGGGGCGAACCCCACAAAACGTTCCAGGAACACCTCTCCCATTTGGCACTGCCAACACGAGCTGGAGCACAAGTATCAGGTCAGTTTGCTTCGAGACACATGGCACTGGTTTTTGGTTCTAGTCATTAACCAGTCGAACCCATCGTTTTGTTCAAAGCAACAAGAACCAGCAGGCATCTGAGAGTGTGTGTGTGTGTCTGTGGAAACCCTGGGTGTCCTTCGGTCTTGGATTTGCTTTGTGGCACTAATGTAAAGCATGCCTGAGACCTTTCGTCGACCTCCACGCCAGTGTCAAACCGACAAGAGCCCGGCAACCAAGACGCAAGTGAGGTCTGACTATGTTGGTTGCATCGCGAATCGGATCTTGCTAGATCTTTCATCTTCCTTCCCCCTCCAGTTTTGATCTCGACCCATGCATTATCATAGAGGGTCCCAAAAGAGAGGCTGCTGATTCATTATTCAAACAATATGTCCGAGGTGCCTTTTCATGTGGACTGTGTCGGAAGCAGTGGAGCCAAGGAACAGACCGCAAAAGGTCAACTGGTTTTTTGGTGCATAGTCCATAATTTGAAAATTCCCAAAAGGAGACTTACTAAAAGGGGATGTAGAATGACATTGATTTGTCTAGTTATTTTCGGACCCTCAAAGGCGTCCACTTGTTTGGATGAAACATATCACTCACCGGTCTTGCGGCTGGGGCCAAGCTCAGACCCTCACCTTTGATCAAGCGGGGCTTCACCACCTTCAATTGCGAGTGACAGCCAAGGGTTTCCAGTTCGCATTATGTTTCAGGGAAACCAAGAAGGGAATCAACCCTGAACCCTGTTGCAGGTTCATTCTTGGGCTCACAGCTGTGAAGGACGCTTTCAGGATCTTGGAGGAAGGTTCATTTAGCCGTGCCAGGTGTGACGTTGCACTTCAAGCGGCCTGACGCCGCGACCGATTATTATTTGCAAATCAAGTAGACTTCTGCGGGTTGACTCCCCCATTTGGGTCCACCGTCGTTCTATTCAACAATCCACTGTTTTTTTACTTCCAGGTTTTGGGCGCTTTCCGGAAAGAAGGATTTGTGGAAGGAATGGGGAAGTTACCCTAGAAGATTCTTCAGACCGCTTGGAGAGCTCGGTGTTCAGACACCACCCGCTCTAACGTTGCAACAAATTGTTCTCCGCTTGCTGCTGGCGTGAAGTTTAACTTCGGTAGTGAACAGGAGGCCTTTACAATCCAAATCCGCCGGAAGGGTAAGGCATTCCCTTTCATGGTTTGTGATGTTGCTACGCGCGCAAAGAGCAGCTTCAATCATATGACTGCAACATATTGATGTTTGGATGTCGGTCCTGTGCATGATTCTTGCCGCATCACGGCCTGCGATTGGACTTGCTCAGAGCTGCACACTCAAGTTACACTGCCTTAAAAAGATGCTTCACAATGCCAGAAATATCATACCGACCTACTCCGGATGGGTTTCCGATCAGTTGGATTGAGCTGACAGCTGAGCGGTTTGTCCGTGGACTTGTAGCCTTGTAGAATTGAACCAGCACCCCTCATGACCTTTTTTGCAAAACATACTTACTCATGCCCGCATGTTGCACAGGGCTACAAGGAGAGCATTCTGCAAGCGCTTGACCCTGTCAATGCATGTGTTTAGTGTTGTCGCTTTCCCCAATTCGGGTGCAGCAAAACCCCACCGGCGACCTGGCGTAGTCAGCGCGCCTTCTGCAAAGTGAGCCCGGCGTAGTCAGCACGCCTCGCTCAAATTCGATTTTCGTGCAGCTGCTTGGAGCCGCAGGGCCTTATCCACCCAGAGAACTGGACACTGGTGGGCTTGGCACAAAAAGCAATCTCACTGGGCACAAAGAGCTCTAGTATGATGTGCCGGCAAGGCGTGTTGCGGGCCTTCAGTGCGTCATGCGTAAATTAGGGATGATGTGCAGAGGCTGCCTTTGTCAATCACATCTCTTGGGATTTGGCTCTGGGCCTTTCTGCACGGATGCGCAGATTCTGCATTTGCCCATTGCCCACCAATCGAGCTTCAGTTTTCTAAGTGCTTGTTTGCGGTCACGCCCAATCCCACGCCCTTTCCACAGTGACTTCGCATGCAGATTTTCCGCCCTCGGCTTCAAGCACGGCGCCCCGATGTTTGTGGTGTTCATTCTCGGCCATTGTTCAATGCTGGCTGTGACGACATCCTGGCGGAGTGAGAAGAACGGCTTAGCCTGCCTTATGGATTGGCCGATGGCCGGTTTGTTGTGAACCTGCTGATTTATTTAAGGCAGCAATTCACATAAGCTGGACTGGATCCAACTGTGGGCTGGCATGGTTGGGAAGGTGTGTCGTGCTTCTGTTAAGCTGGAGGATAGTCATTTTGGTGTTCCTGCATTGGCCGACCCCTCAAGGTTCAGTTTCCCTTCTGGACAAATCAAAACTAGCCGGGCTGTCTGAGATTCAGCTGAGAACTCTGTGGGCTGTGAAGCGCCGGTCGGTTTCGCTGATCGGCGCCGTGAGATGGGAGCACATGACAAAAATGAAGATCCTGCGACTGACGCACGCGCAAAGGCGCATATTTATCTTTTGACATATTGCCTGTCAAAGGCATTTAGGACCCTGGAGACATTTTGTGCAGGGGTCGCAAAGGGGGTTCATGCAAGGATAGGTTTTGTGGATGAGGAGTGCCAAGTAGGCCCTGTTCCACGACGAGGCCTTTTGACACTGCGCAATAAGCGCCTGCAGTGCTCAAGCACGAGTTCATGGCGGCATTTTGTTTTGGTTGGCCCTTTGGGGCTGGGTTTCCGACAACCAATCCATTATTGATGTCCAATTCACAACACACAGAGTTACTATATGCCAAGCCATACA